CAACTTGTTGAAATATTGACCTTTGGGCTGTATGAACACTTATCCCTGCAAATGTTTAGTGTGAACCAACCACAGCATTTTGTTAGAGGAGATTTATGCTATGAAGTTTTTTCTTTTAGTTAGTCTGAATTTTGCTTTATTTTTTGACAGTACCTGTCTCAACAAAGCACATTTCTGTGGGGAAGTAGAAGGGGGCTAACTGAAATATAAATGAAAAAAGGGGAAAGCTATATCCAGTGAAATGGAGTGTGTACATGCAAAAAAAAAATCTCATGATGCACCACCTCTATTGACTATTTACATTTAAAAAACAAGAGAAGAAAGGGACTGAAAACAGGAAAGGGAGTCTGGGAGGCGAAAACCACATAAGACAGAGGAGATCTCTATGAAGCATCTCCCAAGTGTCAAACTGATCTCCAGGCTCAGCCTGGGTCTAATTAGCTTCCTCAGTAATGACATGGAAAATTTTAAGCTAAAAAGCCTTCTATCTCATGTAACTCAGGAAAGGCTGAAAACTTTGTCTGATGTTACTTTTGTTTGGAAGGTGGAATTTGTTTCCCTCCGAACTATAGGTTACAGTCAAAGGGAGTGGCAGCAGCACAAAACAAATTCCAAAATCCATAAGATGGTGATATCTTCATTAAGCAAACCAAGAAGCCACAAAAATCTCCATTTGTGTCTCTCTAGTTGGCATAGGTCTGGCATCATCCCAGTATAGATTCTGAAATAGATAAATCATATCTTACCGGAGAGGTGGGAGTTCCTCTTGAAAATAAACTCATTTTAAAATTTATGAACTAGTGATGATGTTCCCTTACTTGTCCATGTCTAGAAGCTAAGGATGCACTTCTGAATTTATACTGAAGAACACTAAAAATTGGTTAAGTTACAACTTTAACACACTTTATTTTCCCTGTGAAGCAGAATACCCCTCTACTTTTAAATTCAGGAATAACTTTGACTATGTTGAATGCTGTTTTAACAACAACAACAAGAAGAAGAAGAAGAAGAAGAAGAAGAACAAGAACAAGAACCTGTATGCCATCAAGTCAATTCCAACTTATGACAACCCTTTCCAGTGTTTTCTAGGTAGTAAAGAAGTGGTTTACCATTCCCTCCTCCTGGGGCACCCTGAGACTGTGCCCAAGACCACACAGGCTGGCTCTTTTCCCAGGAGGCACAATACATCTCCCAACCTGCAGACAGATGCCTCAACTACTGAGCTGTCTAGCCAGCCTGTATTCAGTTTACACCCATGTAAATATGCAGAGGACTGAAGACTTACTGTGAGTACTAAAAGACTGAAAATTTTATCCCTTTGCTTTTCTCATTTTTAATAGAAGCTTAGTATAGAACTAGAGACGGTATCAACTTTGCATTAATGGATCCAGAGTAAGTATGTGATCTGGCACAGAGACAGCAAGTGTAGCACAGTGATTAAAAGTGAGCAGAGCTGGCCACAGCAGATGAGGATGAGGCAGAGTGAGGCTGCTCTCTCAGGTGGCAGATGCTGAGGGCAACAGAAGCAATATTCTGCTGTTATTCAGAGGCCTTCTTGCCATTCCTTTTTAGTGGAAGACAGAATTAAATCTGCCACCCAGTTTGCTCTCCTTCCTGTTCTCCTTCCCCAAACAGCCCTTCTACCAGCCCGTCTGGGGAAAGGAGAACCAAATTCAGTTGATAAATGTGGAATAAAAGAAGGGGGCAAAATTCCATCTTTCAGCTGAAGTATCATAATGTCCTCAGGGGATGTGAGACAGAAATTTACACTTCACATCTCAGTCAGGGGTGCCTGAGTGATTGTACATAAGACGATACTGTCTCTCAGCCTTGTCTCCCAAACACCTTGTCTGTAACCAGGGACTAAAAATGCAGTATTATATTTAATAGATTACTGAGGAGACACTTTTCTTTTTATCAAGATGTTTACCACACAACTTTTAGGAGAGGCACAACTGGTCTTTTGAAAAATTAAATTGGACAGAATCTGAGAATATTACCAAAAGTTCGTCCTCCATAAAAATAAAAAAAAGGTCCCCACTGCCTATCATTCATGGCATATCCCCTCTGAGCCTTGCATGGGGCATGACAACAAGACATTACAGCGGCTGTGCTCCTGTAACATAGTGATACTGAAAGGGCAAGAAAGGCACCCACTTGCCAATACTCAGTCTCAAAGGATAGGCTGCATGAATAAGAATCATATAGACCATTACTGTTTCAAAATGAAAGCCGTTAATTCAAGATCAGTCTATTTAAATAAATGTTATGTTATCTTAGATACGATTCTGAATAAATGAATGATAATAGTATTCACGTCCAGATACACAGAGATCATTTATGCATTGTTAGAGTGAACATTCCATTATTCCCAAGTCAAGAAAGGCACAAAGATGGTTTATAACAAATCCATGGATATGAGGAATTCCTTCTGACAAGGACAGACTTTCACTTCCTTTAACAAAAGGACTCAGTTATGGTACATCTTGTACCTAAATGCATTTGAAATATACCATTATCTCTCTTTCTGAAATATAACAGCATGTAGGACAAAGTTCTTATTTCCGTATGTTTTGGGTTTGCTCCTTCCATGCTATCTGTGTTGTCTTTTTGCTTCTGTGTCACTGCTATCGAGCAACAACCAGCATTTCCAGAAGTTCCCTTCCCTTCGCACTCATTCCTAATTTGTTACCAGGAGATGGATGAAAAAGGGACAGATGATGGACTTTACTCTTTTACTTTTGTCACAAGCAAAAGACTAAAGTGCAATGTATAGTTCTCACCACCAATGATGCCTTGAGAGGATCAGGCAAGAAAACAGCTGCATCTGTCTATGTTTCTTTCTGTCGCCCAGTGCTATCATGCCCACCAATGATGCCTTGAGAGGATCAGGCAGGAAAACAGCTGCATCTATGTTTCTTTCTGTAGCCTAATGCTATCATGTATCTGCCTTCCCTAATTATGCTGGCTGAGGATGGTGGGAGTTGTAATTATGCTGGCTGAGGATGATGGGAGTTGTAATTCAACTCACTTGAAACAGAGTCAGTAGAAAGGCTGTCCCCTATACTGTTCTACCTCTCTTTACATATTTTTAATAACTGAAATCCTATCCCACAAAACTGACTGCTTTCACTTCTTTCTGCATTAAATAGAAAGATGTGGACTAATAGTCCAAACACATCTGTCTCCTTTTACATTAATAATCCATAGTAAGAAAGACTACCCAGGATACCCTGTATTACAGATTTAGAAACAACAAAATGAATTAAAAGATGGAAAAGCAAACCAGCTGGAAATACCATGCTCTCCAGTGGCCTGCTAGGTATACATCATGACTCTTTTTACCAAAATATCATGAGCCTAATTTTAATCGAACACTTCTTCTATTAAAGAAGGGATGATAAATATTCAATTAATTGTCTTTTCAAAGAAGTAGCCTCATAATCTATTTCAGCATGCATCATAAAGAAAAACGCAAAGCAAAAAGCAAAGAACTGTGGCACCTTTAAGGCATACAGATTTATTTCAGAATGAACTTTCATAGATTACAGCCCACTGCCTCAATTAATTAGCAAGTCATCTAAGAGGATATAAAAGAAAGTGCAGGGAGGTCTTATCTGGGACAATTGCCTCGAACTGGTGTATTCTGGGATGTCAAGTGATTACTTTTTGAGACCTTCCTTTCTGCCTCTATAAATCTGGATTTGTATTTGTTGGAGAGATTACAACAGCAAGTGTTTTAAATTTAAATGTGTTTTTTTATTTTATTTAATTACTTTTCCATATAGACTTTAACTACTGCACAAATAAAAATTATCATTCACTTCCTAACAGTAATTTGTCCTTCTAGGGTTTTACTTACCCTTATTTGGGGACCTGAATTATAGTCACCATGAGGGTCACCATGATGGTGACTAGCTAATTAAAAAAAGATCTGTAGATTACATGATATTGCCCACAATAGCTTTAAAAGTTGAGCCTTCTTACTTTGAAGTAGTGTATCCCCAATTGCCAGATTGGCGTGAAGGTCTGACCTTCTCTGGGCAGCCCAGTGCTTTTCTGGTTAATGCCAGAGATAGAACAATGGGCAGAAGGGGCTTTTAGCACAGTCTGGTGAACATGATCTTATGTTCTCAAGAGCATTCTTAGGTCCTTGTCGTGACTTTGCTGTTGCAATCTACCCCCTAACTCTCCAACAGACAAGCCTAGTGTACCAAAAAATTCCTTTAATTTTAAATGTAGCGTGACCCTGCACTCTCTATCACACAAACACATACAGTACAGGGTTAGTATGTATCTGGCGCAAGCACTGTGGGATATGCTATCACAACACCATGCCCCCCCCCCCCACAAATACAATCATGATGTTCTCCACAGAAGATGGACCCAGGCCCTAAGGCTAGGCCAGAGATGCAACACATTGAAGCAGGTCCTCCGACATTATGTTTGGGTTTTGTTGTGTTTAGTCTGGAGTCCTTCCGGTTTCCCACCTTGTCGTGAGACTCTGCAGAGGGCCACCTTCTCTCACTCGGGCGCTTGCCTCCTGCCCTTCCAAACGACAGAGGACCACCCATCCCCACCCATCCCCACCTGAACGGGCCCAACCGCTGACCGCAACAGGGGAGAGAGCGCCCCAGGGATCTTCCTTCCCCTGCGCCGCCCATTGTTCCCTCATCAATGGAGCCGAAGCGACGGCCACCTCCTTGTCCCCTGATCCCAACGGCTGGCTCGCTTAGGACTGAATACCGACTTTACGCACAAAACCAGCCGGCCTCCACTCTTCTATTCCCCTCACCCGGAGGTTCGAGGTCTTAACGGGACCTGTGGAGTGGGCCTCTCCCTCCTACTCTCGCTGCCATCTCAGCTTATCCTAAAGTTCACCTCCTCTCCCCCCCCTCCTTTTAAGAGCGCCGCGCTTTCCCTGGGCCTGGGACCTTTACCCACCCCGCCCCGCCCCGCCGCCCCGCATTTCTGCCGCCCGAGGCTCCAGGGGCTCTCACCGTCCTCGTAGTTCTTGAGGTAGTAGTCGGGTCCGGGTCCGCCGCGGCTCTTCGCCGGGTTTTTCACGTTCTGGAACTGCAAGAAGTCGGTCCTCTTGCCGGCGAAGCGAAGGAAGGCGGGCGCCAGGCCGCGGGCCAGGGTCACCAGCCTCCGGGAGCTGCACAGAAAAGGGGCCGAGTGAAGGAGAGGAGGAGGGCCGGAGGGAGCGGCCTGGCGGGCGAAGCCGGGCTGGGTGAGGGGGACCACCGTGGCTCCGGTGCCCACGGAAGAGCCGCCCGCCACCAGGCCGGAAGCGCCCGGCATACCTCCGGGAGAGGCCCCAAAGGTGGGGAAGGATGGCGGCCGCGCCTGCTGCCCGAGGGGCGGGCCCGCGAACTAGACGCGGCCACCTGGGTTCTGTGCTACACGGCGATCCTTCGGGAAGTTGGCGAAGAGAAGGGCGGCGAGGCAACTTGTCCGGGAAAAGGCGCAGGGAGGAGATGCCGGGAGCTGGGGCTCTCCCCTGAGGAGTCAAACTCTCGCTCCCCCGCGGGGTC